GTTCCTGCGCCACTGGTTATGATAAATTCATTTTAGGGGATGCTCTATCGGATAAATGAAAAATGGGATGATGGAAAAATATATGATAGAATAAATAACGATTTATGAAATCTGTGCCACTACAAAACAAATATTAATGATTGTTGAAATTTATAATCATGCGTGGTGAATTGATTATATTTATTATATTGCTTTTACACGTTTCTTTTTCGAACAAATTGTCCTGTAACGAAGAAAATATTAATCAAAGTACATAAAAAAAAATCTTTGTTATATGTTCAATTTGAACATTATGAATTGTTAATAATAAATTACTATTTTACGTATTCCTAATTTTGGAAATAATTTAGAAAGATTTAAATTTTGAATTAATGTAATTAATACAATTATTTAATTTTTTAAAAAATCTAGTAACCCTTAATCTCTTAATCTTTTCATCAAAAAATAAAAAAGAGTTTACTTCTCAAAATTATATCAAATCGATATTAACGATATTCCACATTTCTTGTATCTTACTGTGTTTGCATCAACACTTTTACTTAATAATTAGTTGATCAGAACGAAGATGGAACACGTTGAAAGCTAGTTGAAAACGATCGATGATCCAAAGACAGTTTCGAACGATAATGGGATTCTGAACACGATGACAACGTCAGACTGTTCTCAAGTTGCTCGAAAATTGACAAGGGTATTGGACGTTTATAATTCAAGATGGTGCTCCCGATCTCGACAAAGACAAAATGTAAAAGTTGGCGGTCGAGGAGAACTTTCTTTCTAAAATTTCTTCTTATGGAGTTTCGCGATGAAATATAAATTATAATGAAAAAGTTCAGTCCCCCTTTAAAATGTCAAGATCATTATCCAAAAAGGGAGAAAAAAAAAAAAAAAAAAAAAAAAAAAAAAGGAAAGATTTTTTTCACTGAAACACTCGTCCTTTAAAAATTGTATAAAGCATCAGTGATTAAAAACTTTTTACCTATCATTAAATTGTCACGGGTGTGCTCTTGGTTTACAACATTACGTGATTCGTGAAAACTTTTAGCACGGATTATTATCACCGAGTTGTGAACTTTCGTGCAGATATGTAATTTTCGTGTCACGTTATACGTGATAAATAAATTTGCCTTGCATAATTTTTTTTTTTTCCTGTTAATTCCATTTGCATGATACAAACAATGTTATGTTATAAACAAATATTTATAAATCGTTTTCGTGGATAAAATTTTTGGGTTGTGATATTGGAAACTGAAGAAATTCAAGAATGGTTCATCCATAAAGAAAGGTCCTAATACGATACTGAAGTAATATATTCCATCATGTGAACATCTTTCAAGACGTAGAAAGATCTTTTTCAGCCGGTGACAATTTATCAGAAAAAATTATTTTTATGTGATATTGTAATGCAAATTTTATGTTATAAGAAAATTTATCATAAATTGGGATAACATTCGATATAGGTTTTTGGCTAAATGGTTAAATAGATATAAAAATAAATCCAAATTCTGATTAATACAATTAATGGCAAGAAATTTGAAGATTTGTTTCACTTTTTATTATAAGGAATATCACATTTTGGATATTTTGTATTTTTTCTTTATTTTGTATTATATTTCTCTAATTATATTAATTAGAAAGAGAAATTTCCTCAACTTTTTCTTTATTTGGATAATCAATTTATTTTTTAAACTAATCAATTTACAAAATAATTAATTATTATGATATAAGCTTTCGTGCAGTTAATTATATCTTAATTAAAAATAACATCGTAATTATTTCGTTTCAATTAAAATCAATTCGTAACTGTCAACGTAATCTGTGCCAATGTTACGACGCATAAAACGCAATAAAATTATTGACATTTCGCGAATATAAATTCTACGTAAACTCGATATTATATTTTAAATAACATGACATAATTCTACACATTGGTTATTGAATATTCAAACTTGTTTCATCTGTATAAAAATTTTTAATCTAATTATCACGTCGATCGATACACGATTGTACATCAAACAAATTCCAACTATGGAAACGTTCAACGATATTAAATTAAACATATATTGGATTCGATATATACGCGTTTGAATTGAAGCGAAAGAGAAGGAGGCGCAATAAAGCGATACATTCGGAGAATATAGATCGTAATGTGGTTTGGACAAACCCTTGAGGTTACCTAATTAATTTCAAATTACGGTATCAAATCGAAGATGCATCACAGTTAGGCCGTAAGATATATACAAGGTGTCCTCGAAATCATGATAACTACAGCTTATAATAAATAATTACGTGCAAAGATAAATCGAAAAAAAAAAGCTTAGATTTCAAGTGAATAATTCATATTTGAAAATTCGATTACGAATTCAAATACAAGTGAAATTTATTATAAATTTCTTTAAATATGAACTCGATCGATAAATATTGTTATTCTATATATATATGGAAATAAACAAAAAATGTAGGGATAAAATTTTGAGAGAATTAAAATTGAATAAAATTAACATAATTAAGAAATTATAATCGCTGAATTTTTAAATTCAATTTTCTCCAAAAAATTAATTTTTAAAATGAAATTTATTCTTATATATATATATATATTTTTTTTTATTTCAGCATATAGAATTACCTTCTGTCGATAATTCATTCGTGTCTATCAATTAATTAATCAATTATTTCCAAAATGTGAAAATTTTTTTTAAATTTGATTCACTTGAAAACGAGGCCTTAAATTAAAAAGTATTATTTCTTTTTTCTACTTATTTTTGCACATAGAATTATTATCGAATCGTTCGTATAATAATTTCGTGGATGGCCTGTATAATTATAGTAAAAAAGCAATATTCAGCATATAGAATTACCTTCTGTCGATAATTCATTCGTATCTAATCAATTAATTAATCAATTATTTCCAAAATGTGAAAATTTTTTTTAAATTTGATTCACTTGAAAACGAGGCCTTAAATTAAAAAGTATTATTTCTTTTTTCTACTTATTTTTGCATATAGAATTATTATCGAATCGCTTGTATAATAATTTCGTGGATGACCTGTATAATTATAGTAAAAAAGCAATATAGAATTACCTTCTGTCGATAATTCATTCGTGTCTAATCAATTAATTAATCAATTATTTCCAAAATGTGAAAATTTTTTATAAATTTGATTCACTTAAAAACGAGGCCTTAAATTAAAAAGTATTATTTCTTTTTTCTACTTATTTTTGCACATAGAATT